TATATATATATATATATATATATATATATTTACTTATTTATTCTCAACTGAGGATATTTTTTCATTGGTTTTTAGAGAGTGGAAGGGAGGGAGGGGAGAGAAAGAAACATTGATACGAGAGAGACACATTGATTGGTTCCCTCCCTCACATGCCCAGACTGGTGTTGGGGAATTGAACCTGCAACCCAGGTACATGCTCTTGACTGGGAATCTAACCCAAGACCCTTTGGTGCATGGGTCAAGGCTCTAACCACTGAGCACACCAGCCAGGGCTTAAATTTTATTTTATTTTATTATTATTATTTTTAAAATATATCTTTATCGATTTCAGAGAGAGGAAAGGAGAGGGTGAGAGAGAGATAGAAACATCAATGATGAGAGAGTCATTGATCGAGCCCACAACCCGGGCATGTGCCCTGACCGGGAATCGAACCCCGATCGCCTGGATCCTAAGTCGACGCTCAACCACTGAGCTACACCCGGCAGGGCTAAATTTTATTTTTTGATTACAGTTTGCATTCAACACTTTTTTGTGTTAGTTTCAGGTGTACAGCACAGTGGATAGAAATTTATGTAGGTTACTAAGTGTTCCCTCTGATAATTCAAGTGCCCACCTGGCACCATAGTTATTACAGTATTGTTAACTATATCTCCTATGCTATACCTTCCATCCGCATGCCTATATTGTAACTACCAATTAGTACTTCTTAATCCTTCACCTTTTCCCCCCATCCCCAACACCCCTCCCTTCTGGCCTCTATCAGTTTGTTCTCTGTATCTATAAGTGTGTTTCTATTTTGTTGCTCATTTATTTTGTTCTTCAGATTCCATATACAAGTGATATCATATGGCATTTGTCTTTCTCTGTCTAGCTGATTTCACTTAGCATACTACCTCTAGATCCATCCATGCTGTCACATATGGTAAGATTTCATTCTGTTTTATAGCAGAGTAATATTCCATCATATATATGTACCACAAATGTTTTATCCACTCGTCTATTGATGGACACTTGGGTTGCTTCCATATCTTGGCTACTGTAAATAATGCTGCAAAAAACATAGGAGTGAATATATTCTTTTGAATAGTGTTTTGGGTTTCTTTGGACATATACCTAGAAGCGGAATTGCTGGGTCATAGTTCCATTTTTAATTTTTTTGAGGAACCTCCATACTGTTTTCAACAGTGGTTGCACCAGCCTGCATTCCCAGCAATAGTGCACGAGGATTCCCTTTTCTCCACATCTTCACCAACACTTGTTTGTTGACTTTTGATGATAGCTTTTCTGACAGGTATGAGGTGGTTTCTCACGGTGGTTTTGATTTGCATTTCTCTGATGATTAGTGACTTTTCATATGTCTATTGCCATCTGTATGTCCACTTTGGAGAAGTGTCTATTCAGATCTTCTGCCCATGTTTTAATTGGGTTGTTTTTTTTTCTGGTGTTGAGCTCTGTGAGTTCGTTATAAATTTTGGATATTTACCCTGTATCGGATGTATCATTGATGAATATCTTCTCCTATTCAGTAAGTTGTCTTTTCATTTTGTTGATAGTTTCCTTTGCTGTGAAAAATCTTTTAGTCTGATGTAGTACCATTTTTAAATTTTTTTAACTTTGGTTCTCTTGCCTGAGGAGATACGTCAGAAAAAACATTGCTAGAGAAATGTTTGAGATTTTACTGCCTATGTTTTCTTCTAGAAGTTTTATGGTTTCAAATCTTGTATTTATGTCTTTCATCCATTTTGAGATTATTCTTGTATATGGTGTAAGAAGGTGGTCTAGTTTCTTTTTCTTTTTCATGTATCTGTCCAATTTTCTCAACATCGTCTGTTGAATAGACTGTATTTACCCTATGGTATGGTCTTGGCTCCTTTGTCATAGGGTAATGGACCATTTAGGTGTTCATTTTATTTCTGGGCTCTTTATTTTGTTCCATTGAGCTATTCGTATGTT